CTGCCAGCAAAGGCGCCGTCGTGGTTCAAGTCGGTCATGATTTCCCGCCACCTCCGGGAGGTGGCTTCTTCGCTTCTCGTGCTTTGCGTCTCTCCTTCTCGATGGCCGCCTCCTTGCCGAACTCGCCGGCCACGTGCGAGCGGAGGCTCGGGGCGACGAGTGTGCCCGCTCCATCGTCATCCTCGCCCATGAAGTGGTGGGCGCCCTCGAAGTTGCCCTTGTCCGGGTCGGTCTTGTGGGCCTCCTCCAACAACTGGCGGCGCCTGTTGAGGTACTCCATGCAGGTGAGGTTCGCCAGGTTAATGCCGTCCACTGCCTGTCCGAGCTCGAGCGCCTTCGAGACCACTCGATGTTCTCGGGCCGAGCGGCTGGCTGCGGGCACCTTGCTCTCGACCAGCCAGCGCTCGTGGGAGGACATGAAGCCCCCCGGACTCCGCGCCATCAACGCGGTCACCGAGTCCCCCATGGTCGGCGGCCCCTTCAGGTGGATCTCGACCTGGGGGTCCTTGTGCAGCCACGCCGCGTCGCGGGTGAATGGGACTGGCCCCGCAGGTTGCCGCCGGGGCAGCAGGCGCGGCTCGCCCTGCATCAGGAAGAGCTGCCGCTCCGCCGCCCACTCGTCGGCTTCGTGTCCGCCTGGACGAAGCAGCGCCGTGGTGATAGCCCCGCCCACCGAGACGACGCGTGGCCCCCGAGAGTCCCCCGCCCGCAGGATCGTGGCCCCCGAAGTCCAGCCCGCCCGCAGGGAAGAGGAACTCCTGCCCGATCGCGTGCGAGGGGCCAGGGACGTCGAAGACCCAGCTGCCCGCGGCCGGCGCCACCCTCGGGGCGGGCGGAGGCGGCGGGGGCGCGCCGGCTGCCGCCGGGGGCGGCGCGACCGGCAGCGGGATCGGCACCACCGCCGGGGCAACGCCGCCCGGGCCGCCGGCCATGCCCGCGCCGGGCGGCTGCGCCAAGCCCCTCGCCTGGCGCTCCACGCGAGCGTGCGAAGCCCCCTCGTTGAGCAGCGCCGTCAGCTCGGCCCCAGCAGGCTGCGCCGCGAAGCGGTAGAGCGGCGCCCCTGCGAGCCCAGCGGGCAAGCCCCCCGACGAAGGCGAAAAACGGATACCTGACAGGTCCGCGTTCGCCGAGTCGAGCTGCTCTATGAAGACATCCCCATCTGGGGTCATCACAATGTACTCCGATGCAGTGACCCAGCCCAAGATCAGGCGCTCATGCCAGAGCCCGTTGTCGGCCGGGTCATTGTACTGCACGAAAGCATAGGTCCCAGGCGCGAGCGACGACATGCCGCTGTCCGCGCGGGCCCCGGCCTCAGCCGAACGTCAGCACCCCGGCCCCGCGGTGCGAGGCCCGGCCTCGAAGCGCCGCCGCACCCGGCAGCGCCGCAGGAGCCCTCGGCTCCGGGGCAGCGGCCAGCGCCGGCGCCGGCACAAACGACGCGGGCCCGTCCGCGAGGCCCAACGGCGGGCTCGGCCCGACGGCGCGAGCCGGACGGGCCCCCTCGCGGCGGCCCCTGCAGCGCCCAGCGAACAGCGCCGCGAGCGCGGTGGTGGCGACGCCCGCCACGAAGCCGCCCAGCCCAGCAGGCCAGAGCGGCAGGCAAGGGGGAGGCCCTGGACACTGCGGGCAGGTCGGGCACTGCGGGCACAGGTGCTCGGGCCCGCACCTGTCGAGCTGCTTCTCGAGCAGCTTCAAGGCACCGTCGTCGGAGCTGGTGTGGCAGGCGCACGCACACTCACAGTGGCATGCGCGAGCGGCCCCCCCCAGCCAACTGCCCGCGAAACTGGCGGACGCTACTTGGGCGAGCGGGCCAAGCATCACAACCGTCTTCAAGTTTTTGGCAGAGCCCAAAAACGGCAGCGGAACGGAGACACTCGAGAACACACTATCCAGCACGCAGGGCCATGATGGTGATGATGGTGATGATGATGATGATGATGCTGATGATGATGATGATGATGATGATGATGATGATGGTGATCGTGATGGCCACGATGATGACGACGGTGATCATGCTGAGGATGATGCTGATGATGCTGATGCTGATGATGATGATGATGCTGGTGGTGGTGATGACGGTTGAGGAGGGTGACGATATTGATGATGATGCTGATGATGATAATGATGATGCCGATGATGATGCTGATGATGCTGATGATGACGATGATGATGATGCTGTTGATGATGGTGATGATTAGAATGGTGATGGTGACGGTGACGGTGCAGGTGATTGTGATTATGATGACGACGGCGACGACGACGACGACGATGATGCTGACGATGATGACGATGATGATGATGTTTATGACGGGTGTTGAAGATTACGATGGTGCTGGTGGTGGTGATGGTAATGCTGTTGCTGATGGTGATGATGATGATGATGATGATGATGATGATGATGGTGATGATGATGATGATGCTGCTGCTGCTGATGATGATCGCGAGGAGAAGGAGGAGGAGGAGGAGGATGGAGGAGGGGAGAGGATGGAGGATGGATAAGAAGAGAAGAGTGAGGATGGAGGAGGGAGGGGGAAAGAGGAAGGAAGAGATGGATGTTGAGGGGGAGGCGGAGGAGGAGGACGGGAATAAGCCAAGAGTGCACCAGCGATGAGCAATATACCCTCCCGTCCGAGTTCCCTCCTCAGAAGTCTTGAGGGCCATTTCTTTAAACTGAGGAGAGCGCCCCCTCAGAAGATTAGAGCCCGATCTGCCTGTCATTCAGGTGAGAACCCCTGTTAGACAAGTAGCACATGGCGGATCATAATTTGAGGTCGTGTTAAGCGGTATGCCCATTTTGCAAAGGACCCGCCTTACATCCTGATGTTTTGCTTTGTTTTGCGCTTTTACGACAAATGTGCGCGGCGCCTGAGCGAGAGCCACATTTTGAAAGCAACCCGCCCTCCATCCCTGTAGCTGTTGCAAGGTGTTGAGACGGCTATGCGCGACGCTAGGGCGAATGCCATGCTTTGCCAACTGTCCGCTCCTGTCTGTACAACACTTTCAGCTGTTGACAACTACTGTGCGTGGCGCAGTGGCAATAACCATATTGTAACTGTTGAAGGTTTTGACGGATGCACCGACACGCATGGTGGTTGCCACGAGGAGTTCTTCATATCAAGAGGGGTGGCGGAGCAAGAAGAGGAGGAGAAGGAGGCGGAACGGGATGAGACAGGAGGTGGGAGGGTCGGGGAGATCCAAGGGCATCCTCCCTGGAGGGCCGCTCCCAAAGCGCCCTGGAAGATACCAGGGGGCCGCTGGGCGGCCCCTGGAACTCTGTGGGGAACGCATGGGAGAGAAGGCCCCTGAGATCCCCTCGGAAGCCTCTGTGAGACCCCAGAAGGCCCTGGTTGAATCGGGTGGACCGTGGGAGTCGGATGCCTTCAGGAGGGCTCCAAGGTTGGAAGCCCTGGGAAATCCACGACTGGGAGGCCGAGGAAAGCCTTGGGAAGCCAGGGGGAAATTCTGAGAGGCCACTGTGGGGAGCACTGATAATCTGCTGGGAGGGTCTGGGAGCCCAGGGGGATATTTCGAACCCCCTCGGGAGTTCGGGGGGCTACACAGAGACGCCCCAAAAGAGCTTCCCGAGACTCCCCTCGAGAACCCCGAGGAGAGTCTTCGGGAGGCCCCGCGAGGCCCGTGGGAGGCGCTCCCGGAGCACCCTGCGCGCTCCGACAGACTTCTCTTGGTTCCCACACTCCAGGGAACCCTGTGCCGCTGCTTATTGAAGGGGCCCCAGGGCACACAAATAAATACACACAAATAAAAGGATCCCCCTATATTTTCCCATATTTTCTGGGTTTGCGTCTTCCCCCCCACTTCCCATATTTTCCCATATTTTCTGGGGAGTCGGCGATTAATTGTGTCTGCGTGCTTTTTTCCCTCCTGACTTATCTTCGTGTCACATGGCGGTCGGGACGACCCGGGCAGCACAGCGAACTCGAGAGGCGGTGGACAGGCAACCACCGACTCCGCCAGGTCCTCTCGGCGGCGCCTCTGCGGCGGCGAAGGCCGCCGAGGGCTCCTGCCCGGGTGCACCCTGGCGGGGGCTCGACGAGCCTCGCGCGCCCGGGCTCGCCAGCCCTCCGATGCTGCAGCCCCTCGTCGGGCGCACAGGGGGTCTTGCCGGGTGCCTCCTCGCTCGGCCTCGAGCCTGGCACTGCAGCCGAGGCGGGACGCCGCGAGAGCGTGGGTCCAGAACTCGAGCCCCTCCGCCGAAGGCCCAGGGCCCCACGGAGATACCAAAAAGGAGGCACATCGTGAGGTTGGGAGGGGGACCCGCCGGCGAAGAGTACGAGGGCACCCCTCCGGGACCTATGATCAGGTTGGTCTCGGCCCTCAGATGCCAGAACTGCGGCCGGGAACTTTTGCTCGGCGTGTCCCCGCTGCGGCCCCGGCGACACGCTGCACCCCGCAAGCTGATAGCGAGCCGCTCCGCTCCGCGGGGCGGCTGGGAGAGGCTGGGGACGTTGACGCTCGGAGACCGGGGAAGCGGTGAGCGTGTCGCGCCGAGGCGTGGAAGGCCAGAACCGGCGACGCGATACGCTAAGCCGAAGCTGCTGACCGTAGGACCTTGCCCTCCGCATCTCATCGGTGCCAGGGGGGGGGGAGACGCCATCAGAGGCCATACGTGGAGGGGCGGCCTGGCTGGCGCGCTCGGAGCCGCGAGGCGTCCCAGCCGAGGGGGACCGAGCGCGAGGGCAGTTTTTCTCGCGGACCTGGCGCTCGCCCAGACCGGTCGGGCGGGCACAGGGCCACGGTGGGGGCGTTGGTTGAGGCATTTGCCCAGGAGGCTTCCAACCCTGGATGGTTCCTCATTTAAGGAGGGCGGCGATGACATCCGTGGCCAATCCATGATTGGAATTCCACCGGCTGCCAGACCCAGGATTCCTCATCCAATGGTTCCCTATCCAATGCCCGCACCGTGCCGTGCAGCAAGTCCACGCACTGCAGGAGAACAAGCGAAGACGCGCAAGCGGTATAGCTGGGGGGCTGGGGGTCTC